AAATGGTAACCATGAGTTGGAGAGAGAAGAAGGAGAAAGAAGATGTAACAGGAAGAGAGGAAGCCCGAGAAAAGAAGTTACCATGGGTCAGTGTGGCCCATGAGCCTGTGGCCATGAGGAGTGGCCTGATAGAACAGAAGCAGCCCAAGCAGGAACAACTGTGGCAAGTAATTTGAAGTGTGCAGCTGGGAAATGGCAAAATAACTTAGAGGGTTGATATGGTGCCCTAAAGCTTTTATAATTCTAAAAGGTCTCTGTCTCGATTATTTGGGAACCGACTGGAATAGAGAAACCCTCTAGAATCTAATATCCTTTCCACAACACTTAAGGGCTCACAGAGACTGAACAATCAACCAGAGAGTATCTAGGGGATGGTTCTAGCCCTCCCCGCCACTCATATGTAACGGTTGTACAGGTTGGTTCTCATGTGGGTCCTCTGACAGGAGGAAGCAAGGGCTGCCTCTGACTCTGTTGCCTGCTTTTGGATCCCTTTTTTCTTACTGGACAGCCTTGTCTAGTCTCAGTAGAAGAAGTTGTGTGAAGTCCTACTTGATATGCCAAGGTGGGTTGATACCCATGTGAAGTCTCCCCTCATCTGAGGAGAAAGGGAGGAGGGCACAGGAGGAAGGGAGAGGCAGTGAAAGGGAGGGACTGGGAGGAGAGAAGAGAGGAAATCTTCCTACCAGGATGTTAATTAATTAATTAATCTATAAGACAGACAGAGAGAAGGCTTCCAAAACAAGGTTCAATATGACAAGGCAAAGGCCCTTATTTCAAGGCAGGACAAGGCAACCTAATAAAAGGAAAACTGTCTTAAGAGCTGGGAAAAGTGTCAGAAATACACCTGTTCCCACTGATAGGAGTGTCACAAAGTCTCATACTTTGTAGCAAAATTCTCACTCCAATTCAGAAATCAAAATTGCCATGTGTACCTGCAGTCACTCAGTCTCCTATTTCTCTATATGGGTATGCAGCTCTTTCATGAATTAATAAGACTGGGTCGGTCATGTGGTGGGAACAAGCATAGAGGAAAGATATCCTGAGTTGAAACTGTGTCCAAATTTACCTAATCCAAGTATGAATGTCAGTACACACTTTGCTGGCTTTTACTTTGAATTATTTGTATTATAACAGAGTAAAGTTCTTTTACAAAACTTGAAAGACACGTTAATCCTGGAGCCCTCAACACCCCGGAGCAAGACAGACAAATGTAGCTTTCCTTGCTGCATTTTAATTTTGGGACTGTGTGTTAGTTCTGTACTAATTGCTACTATTTTCTATCATTTCCTGCTTTTATCACAACATGCAAATTTAAGTAGTGATAAAGGTTTCTGTAGGAAAATGAAGAAAACGGATTCTTTTTCCACAAAAATCCAATTCATCACAGGAAAGTGGGAGTGCAATAAAGATTTCAAACAAATTTCACAATTGTTGATTTTTGACTGAGCATTGCAGTATGTTCAAAGCTTCATTACTCATAGAAGATATACTATTAGAAAGTCGGATACATATATATATATATTTATATTTTTAAGATTTATTTATTTAAAGTGTTTTCATGTATGTATGTTCATTACCATGTATGTGGTAATGTGCTGTGTGCAGAGGTCAGAAGAAGGTTTAAGATTCACTGGAACTGGATTTACAGATGTTTGTGAGCCACCATGTGGGTACTGGAAACTGAACCCTGGGCCTCTACATATATATATATATATATTTATAAACATACTAAAATCTGTACACCTAAAGAAGCTAAGCAAGAAGGAGGACCGTGGGTAAAATGATCAATCCTCACTCAGAAAGGAAAACAGGGCGGATATCAGAAGAGGGAGAAAACGGGGAACAGGACAGGAGCCTACCACAGAGGGCCACTGAAAGACTCCTCCCAGCAGGGTATCAAAGCAGATGCTGAGACTCATAACCAAATTTTGAGCAGAGTGAAAGGAATCCTGTGAAAAAAGGGGGAGATAGTAAGACCTGGAGGGGACAGGAGCTCCACAAGGAGAGCAACAGAACCAAAAAATCTGGGCACAGGGGTCTTTTCTGAGACTGATATTCCAATCAAGGACCATGTGTGGAGATAACCTAGAACCATTACACAGATGTAGCCCATGCCATAAAGAAAATGAAATCACATTTGCCAGATGGGCGAACTGAAGATTGTTAAGTTCAGTGAAATAAGGCAGATGCAGAAAGAAATGTCCCCATGTTTTCATTCAGGTATAGAAAGAAGATTTAAATGTTAATATATTTAATATCCATATATAAATGGGAAAGGGAAGTAGAAAGGGGAGTATTAGAGGCTAGGAACAGGTCTGGAGGAATGCAGTGAACAGGGAAGATAGTGTGATATATATACGCAGAGAGCAGAATAATGGATTGGTGGGGTGGAAGAGAAGCAGCAAGAAGGGGGAGAGGATGGCTGTAAGGGAATAAGAACAAAGCATGGTGTGTACATGCATGGAGACATCACAGTGAAACCCATTTCTTTGTCTCCTAACAAAAAATCAATAAGAATCTTAGGAAAGAAGTGGGAAACAGTAAGATCTGGAGAGGACAGGAACTCCACATGGAGAGCAACAGAACCAAAAAATCTGAGCACAGGGGTGTTTCCTGAGACTGCTATTCCAACCAAGGACTATGCATGGAGATAACCTAGGACCCCTGCACAGAGGTAGCCCATGGCAGTTCAGTATCCAAGTGGGTTCTATTGTAATAGGAACAGGGACTGTCTCTGACATGAACTGATTGGCCTGCTCTTTAATTACCTCCCCCCTGAGGGGGAAGCAGCATTACCAGGCCACAGAAGAAGACAATGCAGCCACTCCTGATGATACCTAATTGACTAGGATCAGAAGGAAGGAAAAGAAGTCCTCCCCTATCAGTGGACTTGGGGAGGGACATGCATGCAGAGGGTGGAGGATGGGAGGAGAGAGGGAACCACGGGGGGGTTTACAAAATGAATAAAGTGTAATTAATAAAGAAAAAAAAGAAAATAGAGACAAAGAGTAAAAAAAAAAAAGAAAGAAAACAAAATATACTTGTATTTAGGGGCTGATAGCAGCTCAGTTGGTATAGTGTTTGCCTAGTGTGCATAGGGCCTTGGGTTGAATTCTTAGCACTACATAAAACTGAGAATGGTGGAGGCAGGAGGATCAGAAGTTGAAGATCATCCAGTCTGGGCAAACAAAAACAGAGGCTAATATTTATTTTTTGAAATCCTACTTATTGAGAGGATGATATTTTGTTTTACATATTGTTAGCTAGTATAACTAGACAATCTCACATGTCTTCTTGGCCTTCATGACTTGAAATGGACAATTAGTGTTAAGGGTGAATGGATTTATATACATAACAATTTTATTTACTATAGTTCCATGTAAATTTCACTAGCTCTGTAGACTAATTCAAACCAACTAATTTGACTTTTGTTGGCATTATTCAAGCTCATACCTTACTTAAAATTCTAAAGGTATATTTATTTTTCCCAAACAACTGAAAACTGTGCTGTTTCAACTGTAGTAGATGTTTTCACAAAATAGGAATTTGAGTAAAAAGGAATTTAAATTTGAATTACGTAGTGATTTCTTCTTTCCCCCTTATTTACATTATTAAACTCAATATGAAACCCCAGTGAAAATGGAGTTCATTCAATTGTAGTCTTTCAATATTAGCACTGAAGAATTCAGGCATTACCTGAATTATTTCTAGTAAAATTCTTTTTTTTTTTTTTCTTCAGTTTTTCAAGACAGTTTCTCTACGTAGCCTTGGCTATCCTGGAGTTGCTTTGTACACCAGGCTGGCTTGAACTCACAGGGATCTACCTGCTGCTGCTTCCCTCAGTACTGAGATTAAAGGCCTGTGCTATCACATCTGGCTTGTAAAATTCTATTTTGACAATAGCTAATATTAAAGTTTGAGTATTCTGGATTACTACAACAACTAAAAGCCCATACCATATATTTCTATATTCCATCCTGAGTCATTGATGCCTCTTGCTTCAGCTGAAGAACTTGATTTCAATTTTAGATAAAGAAACCGACTATTGGTGGTCTAGACCAAGGGATTTTCCAAGACACAGGACTTGCAATACAAAGAACAACTGAGTCCTAGAATCTTGAAAGTGGCAGTCACATTTTCCTAGAAAGAGGCTTATGATTTCACGTGACTCTAAAACTATCTTAAATGTAAACAAATGGCAAACTATCAATATTTTCCTCCTGCGTGTTGCATACAATGATTTCTGCAATCTTTTTCCAACATAAAAATAAATTTTTTATTTTTTTTCAAATATTTTATTTTCCAAAATAAAAACTGATATTTTATTATTCCAAAGTGATTTAAAAAGTCATGTTGCATACAAAAATGTAGACTTTCAGAGAGGTTAAGTGATACAAAGAAGTTCAAACCCCAGTGGCTGAATGGTTTTACCCAATTTTATGGACTCCAAGAAAACATAAACAGAATTTCTTAAAACTCTGAAGGAATGCTGAATGAATTTACAAATGTAGATGAGATATAAAATCACGTATAGTTAAATAATTTAAATGGAATCCAAATTTATTTGAAATCACCACTGTAGGCAGAACTCAGAGAAAGTTCCTAGTGTGACATGTTCAGGATGCTTCAGTTTGTCACTTAAATTAGATTGTACACCATTACCACAGCAGACTCTGCTGAAGGTCGAGGAACACCATGAGTCCTGATATGAAGGGATGACTTAGGGAGCACCTGTGATAGGGAAGTGTCAACATATGCCCAGTCACTGGGACAAACCTCTTATCGTGCTACACAACTTCCTGACCCAAACTGTCCATTTTCTAAGGTAAACACTAACAGGCTGAGTATAAATGTGATAAAGGCAAAGCGAGAAATTAAAATTTTCTGAGTTAATTAAAATAGCTGCTCTTATCGTACAAGAGAAAATTTCCAATAACAACTGGGAGTATACAGAGAAATCAGAGCTTGCAAAAACATTAATGTCAGTGTTTCACACCTACCTTTGCTGTTTTGAAAAAATAACTACAAATAGCATCACTGCTATGCCAAATATTCCAAAGATAATAATCAAGAACCATGGAAACTGGAAATCTAAAACAGAAAAGAATATTTTACTAACAGAATTATGAATAATTGAAGCAAAGGTTACATTACACTGTTCTTTCCCACTTGAAAATGTTTGCTAATTTGAATTCATATGGCACAGTTAGTGTTTCACTTGGTAACCATGGAAACACAAAGGGGCAACTTTGGTTGTTTTCGCTCTTAAGGATGCAACATGCTTGTCCACTGTTTAAATCCTTTACATAAAACACACACACACACACACACACACACACACACACACACATACACACACACACACACACAGAGAGAGAGAGATGCAAAAAATGGTTAAAGAAAAAGAAGTCAAGAATTTGAGAGAATGTGAGATAGTGGCCATCCTCCTGATGTTGGTGGTGGTTCATGGGAGGATTTTATGGAAGAAAGGGAAGAGGAGATAATGTAATTATACTACACCTTCAAAAAATAAAATTATTGTAAAAAAAGAAAAAAAATGATAAATGAAAACCACGTTTTACACACATTGTAAAACACAAACAAAATCCCAAACCTGTAACCTTCTCATATGTCCAGATATCTAAGGAATATCACCAAGGCTTCAGCATCAGAAAGAAACTGTTGCTTGTTAAAACTAAGTAAATAATGCCTATTTAATATTTTTTTCATTTCTAAAAAAATTATTTGTTTTTATTAATTACAGTTTATTCACATTGTACCCCAGCTGTAGCCCCCTCCTTTATCCCCTCCCAATCTCACCGTCCCTCCCTTATCTCCTCCCATACCCCTCTTCAAGTTCACTGATAGGGGAGGTCCTACTCCTCTTCCTTCTGACCCTAACTTTTCAGGTCTCATCAGGACTGTCTGCCCTGTCTTCCTCTGTGGCCTGGTAAGGCTGCTGCCCATCAGGAGGAAGTGATCAAAGAGCCAGCCACTGAGTTCATGTCAGAGACAGTCCCTGTTCCCATTACTAGGTAACCCACTTGGAGACTGAGCTGCTATATTTTAAACTTTAACGGTATTTTTTAGCTTCCACACAGAGGATATATTGAAGTTATGAGGACAGAGTAGCTGTGATATACCCAGGCACGTTCTACATTTTTACAGCTTTGAAACTGAAAGTTTATGTCACTGTAGTGAGGCTGCTCAGATACTGGTATACTTTGTGAGCCTTGGGAGAATTGGTCTGTGAAACTTCTATCTCCCAATATTCTTACCATAGAGGCAGAAGCTTACTATCTTTTAATATAGACACCTAGAAATCTCCTGTCATCTCTGTAGTTTTCCTGTGTAGGAGATCCAAATGCTTCTTGTGTACCATAAGTATGACTAAAACATGACATACTAGGCCTTCTCTAAGGAAACACCACATCTCTACTTCCCCAAATCCATGAGCACCACCTTTCCTCTTGCAAACCTTAGATAAACTTTTTTTCTCCTGGATACAAATTCAAAACAAACATATTGTCTTAAGAAGCTATACAACAAGGAGGACCTAGGGAAGAGGCTGAAACCTCACTCAGAAGAGCAAACAGGACAGACATTGGAAGTAGGAGAAGACAAGCAACAGGACAGGAGCCTACCACAGAGGACCTCTAAAAGACTCTACCCAGCAGGGTATGGAGAGAGATACTGAGACTCATAACCAAACTTTGGGCAGAGGGTAGGAAACTTTATGGAAGATGAGGGAGATAGAAAGACCTAAAGGGGACAGAAGACCACCAAAAAACCTGGGCCCAGGAGGGCCTACAGAGATCCATACTTCACCCAAGGACCATACATGGAGAGGACCTTGACACCTGTTCAGTTTCCAAGTGGGTTCCCTAGTAAGGGGGCAGGGATTGTCTCTGACATGAACTCAGTGGCCACCTCCCCTTAAGGGGTGCAGCCTTACCAGGCCATAGAGGAAGATGATGCAGCCAGTCCTGATGAGACCTGATAGACGAGGGTCAGATAGAAAGGGAGGAGGACCTCCCCTATCAGTGAACTAGGGAAGGCACATAGGGGGAGAAGAGGGAGGGTGGGTGGAACTGGGAGAAGATGGAGGGTGCTACAGCTGGGATACAAAGTGAATAAATTGTAATAAATAAATAATTTTTTAAAAAGAATGAAAAAAGAAAAATATTGGAAATATAGAGATATATGAAGAAAAAAAAATACCCCCCTAGAATTTTGTTGTTCAGAGACAAACACTGTATTCCCCTGTCTGAGTTTCCATGTGCCCTGGTACCCTTCTTAAATCAAATAATTCTGAAACAACATCCTTTTGCAATTTATTTAATTATATAATAATTATATTATTAAATAATTATTATAACTATTAAATAATTGTTATAATAATTATTTAAAATTTATTTATTATTTTTAATTATGTACATTTGTGTATGTGTACATGAGTGCAGGTGCCCACAAAGGCTAGAGATGGCAGATTCTCTGGAGCTGGTGTTACAGATAGTTGTCATTATTTTGAGGTGGGTGCTGGGAATTGAACTTGGGTCCTGTAGAAGAACAGGAAGTAGTCTTAACCACAGAACCATCTCTCCAGCCCCTCCTGTAGTTTCTTTTTTATTGCATACATCTTCTACAGATAGTGACTTCTATGTCTTATTCCTGATATGTGAAACTAGAGTATATTGACCTAAACAAAACACACACACACACACACACACACACACACACACACACACACACACA